GAGGTGCGTTCGTCGTTGTCCTAGCAAAGATTTCGAGTTAAATAGGCTTCAGCTTCTTTACGAAATCCAATTTTACGCGGCTTCAGCCTCTTTGCCACTTACTTGCAAACGTCTCTACCATATCTTCCAATCAGCCCCGCCCACAATTAAGGCCGAGTACATCTTGGGACGTTACGAACTCTTCCCATATCGCAAGAGGTGTCTAATCACCCAAGCCCTGCGATATCCGCTATGTAACGAGGACGTTCTGGAGGCGCTGCTCAGACAACCCGACTGTCCCCCATTATCGGAATCAGGAGACAGGCCTTCGCTCCCAGCGCATCTATTTCGTCACTTGTCGGCACCGGGTGGCGGAATATGGAGAGAACGCCATCATCCCCTACCATTCCTTAACTACCTCTACAATCATCCACGAATACCCCAGCCTGATCCCAACTCGCACCACGGCTATCCGCTGACACGTGCGGTTCTTCTCGAATTTCTACCACTCATCCACTTTCTGCTCGAGAAGGGTGCCTCTCCAGCAGAGAAAAACGCCCTTGCCGTCTTCATTGCCATCCGCAAGAAGGACCTTTCGCTTGTGAAGCTTCTGGTGGAGCCTAGCCCAGCACCAGCAGGAAACGCGAGGACCAGAACGAAGAGAAGGCGGGTTCCGGACAGATTGAAGCCATCTCCGGGGATGCTGAACACTGCGGTCAAATGCAAGGCGATGGACATCGTGGATTGGCTGATAAAGGAGAAGGATGTAGTGCCAACCATGGAAACAGTACGTCTCACGACAGTCAAATAGCATACACGTATATTATAGTACTATGACTTCATCCTGCTATACGGTCTCCCGTCGACTTCGTCTCAGTCGATACCATGCATTTCAGATATATTTTTATCGTGCGTAATTATCTTCACAGCATCGAGCACCTGTATGTGCGCGGATTGTAGTTGGATAGAATGTCGCTACATTGTCAATTCTATCCAATGATGGATGGGCATCACGGTTGACGATACATGGATGCGAGGACGTGAGAGAGACAGCAATACTTGCACAAAATGCAGCATATCTAATCAACAATGGTGGAACAGAACAACGAAAACATGCTATCGTCTCATTAATACATAACTGGATTGAATATGAGCTTTACGTCGACAGCGTCGAAGAGTCGAGTAGGCGTACCTCCAATGGCAATACGGATGTACAGTGGATCTTTAGATATCGTCGATATCCACTTCCTCTTCGTCGCCGAACTCGAAGGTGCATTCGCCCTCCTCCTCGCCGAAGGTATCAGTCTCGTTGATTTTGGCATTCTCGGGGAGTTCACCGTATGCTTTCACTGCGCATAGCATCAGTATCACACTCCAGAGAGAACCAGCGATCCCACGTACAGTTACGCGCCTCATCTGCGGTATACTTGACAATAACATCGGCCTTGTCGTCCTGGAATTCTCGTAGCGACAACAGGATGATGTCTCCCTGGTTAATCCAGACCTGGCAGCAAACTGTCAATCGAGCAGCCACAGCGAAGAGTTTACGAACACACCTTCTTCCGCATCTTCCCTCGGATGTGTGCTAGACGTTTCTCGCCATCAAAGCACATAGCCTCCAAGCGCCCGTTGCCCAGCATCTTCGTCACTTGGGCGTATTCCTGACCATCTTCACGGAAAACGAGCTCGCGCTTGTCATCGTCGTTCTCATTCTTCCCCCTTCTCCGGTTCTTGCCACCCTGTGAAGAAAGAACAGCTGGCAATCAGCCGATGGCCGTCGGTGAAGCGGGCGCTAGGCGAACCTTTCCCTTATTCTGAAATTTTGACCGTGGTCAGTATGCGGGCACAGTGGACGTATAGGAATCCGACATACCTTCGGCATGCTAGATTAGGGCTTGAAGGTCTGGCGAGCTCTCGAGGGCGGTCGTCAGATAGATGAAAAGCCCAGCGGCTGGGTGTGAGATGGATGCGGGGAGGTGACTGTACGCACACCGCATCGTGCACGACGAGGCCAAATCCGGGCGGAGCTTCAATGCCTCAGCTTTCCCGAAATGGCAAGTCTTTAGGTTCGGCACAAAAGCCTCGACGAGCCTCGATCTCTAATATGCAGACGCCAGATCGAATGTTGAAAGGTAATATATAGATCAGAGCTACACGAAAACCCTCATATTGCAAGGTAAAGTAATTCAGAGCCGCCCCGCACGCAGGCTTGTCAAAAAATCACTCAAATATTTCACATCCTCCAACAGCTCGAGTTGCGCGGCAGAGTAAGACTGGTAGTCTTTACCGATATCGAAAGGTTTGGCATCGACTTGACATATATGCCCTTCCGGAGGCAGAGTTCCATCGTTGAAGTAAGCCCTTGTGATATTGACAGTGCAAGCAGATGGTAAAGTAAGCGAACAGTGCTATGTAGTAGCAATGTTAGCGAGGCAGCCCATCCCGACTGTGATAAACTCACCCCGGGGCCATCTTGAATAGCAAGTCGAGCTGAATCACCGAGCAGCTCGTTTATACGCTTTCCACTGACTATCGGGGTAATGGGGTCGGCCTGAATGAACATATCCATTAAAAAGCTGAGCGTCGACGCGTAGTACGATGACGCACGGTGTTGCTGTGTATGAGTATCGGGTTCCTCAATGTCTTGTTCCACGGCCCCGCATACCTCTCAGAAGGTGTAACAGGCCAATATTCGCAACCCGAATCAGGTTCGATAGTGAAAATTGACATAACAAAGCGGGAGACGTGTTTCATAACGTATAGCGCTTCGTCAACAACATCGTGCGGATCGGGTTTCGGGAACTTGACCTGGTCGTTGCATGATACTCCGGAACGCCAGAGATCGCCCACACCGTTGATTCCATATGAAGGTGTATTTAGGATAGCCGAGCCATCACCGTTCATTGCCTCAAAGATGTCCCTTGAACGTGGTACCCAAGACATTGGTTGTTCAAGAGTCTCAAAGATGAAACCTATCAGCGCATGGTCGATCAGTAAGCCCACAACGATGGATGAACCAGACGTACTTCGTGCTTGTCCCTCTGAGAGAATACCAGGACGAGTGGAGTTCGTTACGGCCAACGGCTTGTCAAAGAGGCTTTCCATCCAATTCTCAAGGCGTCCCTGTATCACTCTAGGGTCCTCGTTCGTGTACTCGGCAAGAGGACATTGACTGGGTCCGGCCTATTGATAAAATGTCAGCGAAAACTCGGTGGACTCCGACAAGCATACCTCCGAACAGCCGCTCAGGAAGAGCTGGTAGGTATCTCCCGCGCTTGATAGCCACTGCCTATGTTCCTTGTACGGCGGTACGGCTATGATCATCAGTAAAATGATTGAAGCGGACGACGATTACACACATGTCCAAAGTTCGACACTCGCGATTCCATCGATGACTACCCGACCTACACGGTCAGGGAACCTGCGTTTGATTGCGTTGGTTAGCGGGTCTAAATGTAGAGTGAAGCTAGGAAATACCGACATGTTGACTAGGTATTGCCCAAGAATTGACCCATAAGATCCACCCCAGTATTTTCTAAAGGACCGACAAGCTCATTAGCAACAGAAAGTAGTTTGTGCCAGAATTATTCACATTAAGGCTTCGTCACCGTCCAGAACACGCGTCATGAAGTCGATGTCGCGAGCGACGCTGCTCGTTCCTAGATAGCCGAGCACGTCTCCCATTCTTTGGGCACACAAGGCCATTTGCGTCCGATACAGAGCGTCCGCTTCTCCCATTTGCTGAATAAGATGCTCGCGCGTATCGATGAGTGACGACTCTGGTGCGACTTGGTAGCCTCGCTCTAGTACGGTATTCTGTATGAAATCTTTCCTGTTCTCGGCAGTGCCGAAACAATTGACAGTGGGCCTACGCACAACGTGTCAGCGCATGATAGGCCAAAAAAAGACAATAGGTCCTACTCTGTCTTCCCAATGCCTCGGGGATCGAAACCCACGATGTCATAATCTTCCCCAGTCGCGATGCGCTGAATTCTAGGTCCGATTCGATAGGCCAAAGGTGTTCCAGGAATGCCGGGACCACCTGCGTGCTCGTTCGCTCGCAATCCCTAGAACAAGGAAAACAGACCAATAAACGCACCAGGATTCACGAAGACAGAGCCCTTTGAGGGACCCTTCGTTGCTTTATATCGAGACAAAGCAATTTTGGCTGTTCCAGCGCTCGCGTTGAAGTAATTCAGAGGAACGCTACGACAGTATACTTTCAATTGCCGGCTGAATAAAAATAAAAACGCAAGCGTACATGATGTGACCACATTCCGCCTCCGGAAGACTGCCAGGTTCTGTGCACTTGTCATACCACTCGACGGTTCCGACTGCGGCTTGGTGCCAGTCCAGTCTATCTCCCGTCAAGGTACGCGTCATCGAGCGCCATCCCGACAACTGCCACAGCCCGACCATCGCCCAGAGCGCCAAAAACACACCATGTACTCTTACAATTCGTGGCCGACGAGATGCCGCCGCCAGTTGTAGAGTGTTCGCCGAAGTAACCTTCTCCGTTCCGCCCTTGGAAGTCATGGCAGTTCAGAGAGAAATGATTCGCAGCTTGCAGGGATTCACCGCAGACCGTTTTTGATGGCGGCGCCTAAGCATAAGATAACAGCTATATGTGTCGGGCGGGCCCACCCTGCGAGCGTGCGAGCAAACCTTCCCATGGCAAATTTACAGACCACCGAATTCAACTGGGCGAGGCTGCGGCCCTGGCGATGACCTGACCACCTCGGGGCTTCAGAACTCCCTGTAACATTAGCATCGCAGTAGATCATGGCGGACCGGGTGATGGCTTCGTGGTGCGGCATTTGGCAATACCCGAATAGGTGTCTTCGGCTTGACTAGAGTTTTTCCAGACTCTTGCTTTTCTTCGGACAATGCCAAGAGTGAATTCGCCAGCAAAGCCGTGTGAACGAAAGCACTGTTGGCGACCTGTCCGGAGATTCCAACGACGAACGTTGATGAACCCTCATAAAACTTGACATGGCTAAATAATAACATACAACTTTTAATCCCTCTTAGCTCAGTTGGTAGAGCGCGTCACTAGTACCTTGAATATTCAAGTTGTAATGACGAGGTCAGTCGTTCAAGTCGGCTAGCGGGAACTTATTTTGTCCCTACCCCCCCTGGGAAAGGGCATAGACATTTCCCCCTGGAGACTCAGAGTGGGAGGCAGTGTACCCTGTGATGGAGGGACACATGGAGGACATTGGCCCGACAACATTTTTGGCATCAGTACTGTTCGGCTAATGATTTAGATTTTCGCAGATATGGATCATGTTTGCACGATGTGCCGTATCCCAAATCCTTGCCAAAATAGAATATATAGAGTCAGAGGTCGCTGGCAAATGCGACGCAGATATGTGTTGCAGGGGAAGACCACCCCGGGGATTACAGGGGTTATTCCTGCGCGCAAGCAAGGATCACCTACGTCTAGCCCTTGACCTCTTAGCGCCCATTTTAGTAGGCTCCTCCGATGTTCGTATCGACATAACAGGACATTGACTTCCGCTCAGGGATATCTCATGAGGCGAAGGCCTTGCAGTATCTCCAGAGAAGCGAGAATGTCGAGTGGGTCTGGTCGACCACTCCAGTACAAGCATTGGACACGAGGGCGTCGGCGGGCCTGCAGCAATCGCAGACAGTGTTTTCCTAGATTCATTTGGTCGCGGCTTGTTTCAAAGTAAGTAGGTAAGAGACGGGTCAGCGGCGAAGACACTCACGACGTAAGGTCGTCTCGATTCAGCAAGAAGCCAGGACATATCAACCGCGGCAGCTTGTGCACGTTGACTTCTCTCTTCCGCCTCTTTCTCATCATCCTCACACGGAGGTTCCCAGTGCCTAGAGTTATTGAGGATTTGACCTTTATAGAGCTCAAGAAAACCTACTTGATCACCGGAGCAGGCTTGGGTTCTAGGCATATCGCCCGAGGGGGAAGCTTCGAAGAAACCAACCTGAAACCTCGAGTCCGAACGGTGCTCAGACTAAAGATAGGCCACGTAGGATATTTGCTCACCTACGGATTGTTGCTGAGATTGTGAAGGCGTATCAACGGCTGGAGGTTCAAGCTTCCGCCGCTTTTTGGGCCGCTCATGCAAGGAAGCCGGGACCTCCAAGGTAGCCTTCAGCATTTCGTCAAGCTCTGACGCCCTCGACAAGTCGGGAGCTTCATCATTCGCCTCTGCGTCCGCAAACAGAGCAGCACGACTGATGATCTCTGTATGTTGTTGTCGGAGATGCGGGTTTGCAAAGCGCGGAATCATGGCGGCGCGTAGCACGTACGTTTTAGGCAATCGGGTTTCTGAATTGGGCGTCATAACGGTTGTTGACCCTTGTTTACGACGGGGATCTCATTTTCTACTGCAACTTATCCGCCGGCGGTGTCTTCGCCCGCGGCCTCTTCTCTTCTCCCCCTCCATCTTTTCTTCTACCATCATGCCGGACGACATCGCGACGAAACCCAAAAAATCTCGCAAGCCTCGAAGCTCGAAGGTTGCGGACGCGGAAGCACCAGTCAACGCGTCGAAAGAACAGAAGCACGCGGACGCGCCGCTCATGGAGAATGCTGCACCCAAGGACGCGGTGGATGGGGAGAAGAAGAAAAGAAAACGGAGGCGCAGTGAGGCTGTCGAGCCAACCGTCGACGTACCCAAGGCCGCCGAAAAGGTAGTTCAGATCGAGGAAGCGGACACGGCGAAGTCAGTGGAGGAGACTGGAGATGCGGAGGGAGAGAAGAAGAAGCGCAAGAAGAGAAAGGAGAAGGGTGCTCAGGCAGTGGAGCAGCCACAGGTGGCGGACGCGGAGGTGAAGGTTGATGCGCCTCCTGCGAAGGAGGCTGCAGCAGGTGAGGAGGGGGAGGGTCAGAAGAAGAAGAAGCGGTCGAAGAAGGACAAGGTGATCGAGGGGAGCGCGCAGCTGCAAAAGACAACTGAAGTGAGTACGTCTTCGGGACCTACTGCTGCAGAATTCGCGAAGGCAGTCGAGGAGGCCCGTGTGGGCGAGAAGAAGAAAAACAAGAAGATTGCAAAAGAAGACGGTGTTACGGTTGTGTCGCCTGTGGAGACCACTACTGTGGAATCTTCGACGAGTGCGGAGGCGAAGGTGAACAAAAAACCCTCCGCACCCGCGGCCGAGTCGGCTCCGTCGAAGAAGGATAGTCGGAAGGGCAAGAAGGTTGCGGAGGCGGCGGTGGTGCCCAGCTCCACCGAGGTTGCAGAGACTGGGAAGGGGAAGGGGAAGAAACAGGCCAATGCGGAGGACGCGACAGCGAAAGACATGCCACGCGCGACGAAGGTCAGCCCCGCCAAGGAGGCAGGGCAGAAGAAAAAGGCCGACAAGGTCGTCAAAAAGGCTGCAAAGCCGCCGTCTCCAGAACCTGAGCCCGAACCTTCGCAGTCTGATGAAGATTCAGCGGAGGCTCCCATTGCCGATGACTCTGACGACGAGGACGTGCATCTCCACGGCTTCTCAACAGACGAAGATTCTTCGGACGAGGAGATGGATGGTGGTGACATTCCGGGCATTGACGTCGGAAAGCTTCCGACCATTGCTAAGGACGACGCAACTGTGAAGCGTAAACTCGAGAAAGCTAAGCGCAAGCCAGTAAGTCCCCTGGCGACGTTATTGCTTGATCGCTCCTTACACATGAGCACAACAGACAGAAGACCGGGGCGTGATTTACCTCGGCCGTATACCACACGGTTTCTACGAAAAGCAGATGAAAGCCTACTTTTCGCAGTTCGGCGAAGTAACCCGGCTGCGCCTTTCCCGTAACAAAAAGGTGCGTCCTTGTAAAACTGGCGGGAGCCTGGTCCCTGACTGTGGTGCTTAGACCGGTCGCTCAAAACACTACGGTTTCGTGGAATTCGATTCGTCATCCGTTGCTCAAATCGTGGCCGAGACGATGGACAACTACCTTCTCATGGGCCACATTCTCCAATGCAAGGTTATTCCCAAGGATGAAGTTCATCCTGAGCTCTGGGTAGGAGCGAACCGCAAGTGGAGACCTATTCCCCAGGGCCGTATCGCGCGTGTGAAGCACAACAAGGTATTTTAACTTCCATCCGCCTGTCCTTGCACTCTTTGGCGCATACTGACACAACATTGTTCAGCCTCGTACGGAGGAAGAGCAACAGGCAGCGGAGAACCGGCTTCTGAAGCGACAGTCCTCGCGCAAACGGAAGATCGCAGAGGCGGGCATCAAGTATGATTTCGACGCTGTCGCATATGTATGTTGCGCTGTCCTATGCATGTTTGGAAGTGGGGGCTAATCGTCTTTCCTTTCACAGAAAAAGAAGCCCAAGGCTACTGAATCATAGCCTGTGCGGACCGCCTGTGTATCTGGATTTCTTCAGGGATCTTCTGTCTTGCTGCCTCGATCTCGAGCAATACACTTCGCATACTGATATTCTCTCCATCTGCTCTGAATTGCCCGCAACAATATGTGTTTCTAATTTTGCGCGGTAGGTCAGAAGACCCTTATATTCTCTATTGGACCGCTTCCTATCACCTAGCTGCGCCATAAGGGAAGTGATCGCGCGCAATGGAACATCGGGCGCGGTCTCACGAAGTGACGGCTGTGTCAACCAAGCAGATACGGCTGTGTTCACTGAGAGTCAGTTATACGTGGTAACGTATTCGTTTGAGGCATTTGCATTGCGGCAGACCATGCACGTTCGCGGGCTGGTTGACGACACCGTATCAGCTGGTCCGTATGCCGTGCATTGGGTGGCACCTCTGAATGCTGTTGTGATCCGCCCGGTTCAGCGTCCTGACTGAGGCTAGCTAGGTGTCGCAGGACTCAGACGTGCGACTGGACCGGGAGCTGGTGAGTGTGCTTAGCGCCCGAAATTTCAAGCTTCAAGCGTCTTGCTACGCGTGACGGGGTCGCAGGTATGCATCCAAGAGGCTGGTAGTCGGAGTCGATGCGATCCGGCATAGGAAGCTGAGTCTTCTCGCAGCTTCTCCCACTCAAAGTACGCCCGCATACGGAGAGCTGTCGACAGGATGATCATCGTTTTGACTAGCCACTTCATCGACGGTCAAGCCTTTCTTCGACACGCCACAGAAATGTGCTCATCGCCAACCCACTTCTGAGGTGACTGCTTTTTGAATCTGATCGGGGGTTATTATTCATTGAATATACCGAATCCTAGCGCCGACCAATATTGGTCCCATGCGGAACAAGCTCGGTTCACATCCCAAGTTGGATGTGTCGACCCTGTCGAGACTGAGGGCGTCGCGGACGCACGGCAGAAGCTGCAGCTCGAGGTAGAAGCTGTTCAACTCGTGGTGTCCTCTCTGCGCACCCGCTGTAATAGCCTCGCTCCGGTCAACAGACTCCCAGTGGAAGTCCTCACCCACATCTTCCGCCTCTTTCAAGTTCTCAAGAACGTCGACGAGATTCAGCGTGGCCAGACCGGCTACAAGCTCGAGTGGATCAAAATCACCCACGTGTGTCGCCAATGGAGGAGTGTGGTCTAACGTCCCGTGGGTACTCGGCATCATATCGACCGAAGAGTTCTTACATCGCTCACGAACGGTACCCGTCGCAATCGGCTTTGAATTCCCGGTGTTTGCGCCGTCGGTCCTGAAGGAGTGTATGTCAAAGATCATCGCACAACATATGTCTCGTGTAAAGGACCTTCGTGTTCAAGTACATGGCGACGACCTACAACTTTTTCTCTCCTCACCGCTTGGACCGGCGCCTATTTTGGAGAGAATGTCTGTCCGCTACATCGGAACAGAGACGCCTTGGAATCGCTGACTCTGTGGGGACTCGACTTTCATGAAGAGACGGGCACTGATCTGGAGCTCACAAAAAGTAGTTGGAACAATGGGGCCGTTGGACAACTTGAAGATTTACCTCAAGAACAGCGAAATCAAGCAGGCGCAGGTGGACAGGCTGAGAGACCTAGGATTTGACGTTGATTCGAATAAAATGGTGGGCTGAGTGAACCCAACGAAGAATGTGGTCGTCGAGTTGAACATGCCCGATGCGGTGGTCTATCCCCTACATTGTTGGTGCTGCTATCAGAGAATGAAAATTCATCCCGAGACAGCGCCGGTGACTCAATTGCCTTTGGATCCTTCGAACAGCGACACA